ACCTATAAAAAGTTGTCGGACACTGACTCTTTACGTTACTGCTTCAACCGGATCAATAATATATTTCAAATTGTAATTTACGAAAGAAATAAGATACATTAAAATCATCAAGAATTCTATTATTTCTCGAAGTATTTTCCTATCGATTAAATTAATATGCATGACTTTGTGAAGATACCTGTCGATCTTAGCTTGTACTTGTAATTATATAAAAATATATAGAGCATTGTCGAAAGAATTATAATACGCAGAGGAAAATTATTTTTTTCTACAATTTTTGCACATGTCCTTTGAAACTAAAAATAACAAATTTTTAAGCAAAGAAATGAGATATATGTTCGAAATTATCAACCGATGCCTCAATCTGCATAATCTATGATTTGAAATCCCTTATCCTACGGTAACGAGCCAAAATATTGTCAAATACTTCGAATTACAATGAATTCGTTGTGCTATAACAGGCGTAATGCATACTTTTCACGCAGAATGAATTTATCACGCAAAACTTGCGACTTTCTTTTTCTTTTAATGAAAGCATATTATTTCACTGGTAAATACGTCGCGATACTGGAATATCGATTGTTCTATGAACAACCGTAATCGACTAGAAAAGGTAACAACGTTTTCTTGTCACGCAAATACTTAAGCCTATTACAGTGTTACAACTTCGATACTAATTTATAACTCTTAGCGTGTGCAAAATACAATGCAGCGAATCTAATGCAAATAAGAGATATCTCTTTTCGTTTTAAATATTTGTACACGATATAAAATATGAATTTTTTTTGTCACTTATTTCAATAAAAATTGATTTTGTATAGAATTTATATAGATATAGAAATATCCTTCGATTTCATCGATTTATAATATACTACATCTAAAGTTTCACATAACACAAATAAAATAATACTTGCAATAATTGCATCAAATGCAATTAATCCTAATAGGCGAATGATCGTTTCCTTTTTTTTTTTTTTTTTTTTGAACATTTTCTACAAATAATTCGACTTAGGAACGCATAAGGAATGGTGATAAAACTTTTTCGTAACGATTTCTAGAAACTTCGAACTCGAGAATCAAAAAATCTGTTCGATCTGACAAAGGCACAAGTGACTAGAATTCGTAAAATTCGTACCTCGATAAATACAAAATGGCAAATTTACCGATATGTAGCGAAGCACACAAAAAATCTCGATCTCATCAAGATCGTACAATATTCTTTTTATAATCATCATCACTTTAAAACGATGCTCAAATTTCAATTTTGTACCCCTCGTCGCTTTTTTTCTACTTCGAATCTTCAAGTATTGACTTTAGATGAAATTTGAACATCCCTGAAAATCGATAGTTTCGAGAATCCGTAGAGACTAACGTGTTAATTGAAACTAACAGTACAGTAAATCTACATTTATAAATTAATCCGTGAAACTTTTCGAATTAATATAACCAAAAATATTTTTCAAAAAAATTTCATCGAGTTTAATTTTTGTAATTTTACAAATATTCGTTTTCTTAACGATTAACATGTCAGTGATTCGAATTCTCGAACGCAACCTCGATTATTCTATGTCTAATTATTATTCCTGCTTACACAATTAAAGCAATTAACTAATTAATACGCTAAACTCAGAAGGAACAGGGTAACATATAAACGTCTGAACAAAATTTTAGCTCGTGTATCGTCTGGAAGTTTGTTTGCTGTGTATGTATGTATGTATATATATATATATAATCGTACTGTATCGATAATCGTTGTACAGAAACAAAGCGTTCCACGATGAATCGATTTTTAAAGCTATATTCTGTGTGATGAATACACTTACCCCTTAACTCCATACACATTTCTCCAGGCAATTTTCTATTTCTGATTTAATCAAAGTTTTACGAACAGGTTTAAATAGTAGTACATTATACAACAAAATCACATGCTATATATGCGAAAGGAAAAAATCGTAACGAATAATTAGTGTGCAATATGGCGCTATACGCGCCACAATTGTAAGGTAAATTCTTCTGGACGCTGTTTTGACTAAAAATGCGCATTATAATATACTGTTTGCCGAATTTTACTAAATTATGATAAATTCGACTTATTGTCACTATTTTGTATCATTATTTGGTTTTCTTTTTTGTTGCAGAAATAAATGCTTTGGAATTATTGTTCTTAATAAAAAATTATTGGAAAGATGAATATTTCACTTTGTAGAATTTTTCGATATCGCATGTACATTTTAATTTTTCACTTGACGTTTTTTTTTTTTGCGAGATCACAGAAGAAAATTCGTAGTACATAATATTTCATTTTTTCTCTTATTGTTTACATATTTTTTTCTTTCTAAGTACTTTCGTTTATTTTTATAAACGGAGTGTATAATTTCACGAAGTTCATTGAAGCACATAATACCATTGTTCCTTTTCTTGTTGCAATGTATTGAAAAATTGCGATTAACATATTTTGATATGACTACTTAAATGTGTATAACTTTCTTGAACACCAATTCATCTCTTGAAGATATTTACAAATACTTCTATGAATTGAACATTCGTTTTTTTTTTTACTTTTTTTGTTATAAATATCAATCTTTCCTTTTTTTTTTTTTTGAGCTTGAATTCTAAGTGGAATGAAAAAAATTATGTAATGAAATCGTTAAATATTAAATATTGGGGCTTCTATGCATTTCTCATTGCATAATTATAAATATGCTATCATAATACTTACTTACAAAAAAAGATGTCAATAGATTTATAATGCTCTGTCGACATTACAAAAGATTTTTGTCGATTTTCTTTTCAGATCCTTAAGTATTAACAATTTTTCATATTGCATCGTTATCAGTTGCACGGAAGTTGATTTCAGCTATTTGTTTTATAAAGTTTTCTCGACAATCGCATATTTTTGATATCGTCATATTATAGAATCATAATAATAATAGTAATTTATAATACTATTCAGTACAAAGCGCTTGGCCATTTAAAAAATCCTCCCTTTTTTCGTGTTCTATTATTTGCGTGATTCGTATAATTCTCTTTATCACTCGACTGAGAGCCATCTATTAACAAGATATGACCTCTACAAATAGAATATACCATATGTGTCGTGTGTTAAATATAAATCATTAAAAAATAAAGCTACGATTAAAAAGATCTCACAGCTCTTTGTACTCTCGATTAAAAAACAAGTACAGAATTATTCACTTAAAACGCAACTATAATTATGGTGAACAAAATACTATCAGGCTTAAGTGTTACAAATTGTAGTATTTTAAAAAAAAAAATTATAAAATAAACCGAAGTAGTAATTTGGTACCTATTCAACTAATACTACATACACAAACTTTTTTTAAACAATATCGCTACCACACTGAAGAGGAATAATAAGGAAAAATAAAAGTATTAAAAAAGACAAATATCAATAACTTCAAGTCTAATTTCAACTTCTGTTTTAAAATTGCGCTTTAAATGAACAATCCTTATTTTAGCACGCAAAAAAAAAATTCGTCGCACGTTTGAAATTCAAGAATGCATGCAGTCTTTTTTTTTCAGGTATAAGTAAAAGGAAGAGTAACATTATACTTATAATTGCTTCAATTACTCAGATACGTCGATCAAAGTATATTAGAACCTATCAGATTTGAAATTGAAAGTTACTCTTTTAAACCTTGCCAAGGTGAAACAACATGACCTTTCTCTTGTCTTTCTTTTTTCTTGTTGAAAATCACTATTAGACGTAACATAATATTTGGAAATGGAATGCCACTGCGGTGACATTCTTTTTTCTGTCCGGTTGATAAATCGCAGTTAAAAGGTCTGTACATAAAAAAAATTGCACACAAAGTGCTAACAAATCCAGGAGATGCAGGCTTTTTGTTGCAGTGTGTATGCAGCTCGAAGATTTATACATTCGATTTTCTAATAACTATATACTTATAGTCGAATTGTCAGT